GTCTGCTATTTCAGAAATGCCAACATCACCACTTCAGGGAGCTGTATTCCCAAATGGCAATTTGACCCATCAATATCCTGACTACAGTTTCTTCTAGTGGTTGGTAGGCCATACAAATACAGTGGTATTGACCAAAATTAGGTGTTTGTTGTGCTAGTTTGCTCACTGATCTGTCTAGTCTTTTTAAGTTTTGGTTTCCATTATCTTAGGGTGATCTCTCAGAAATGGCCTTCTTTGTGTCTTCTGGGAAACCCGTAGCATTTGATCAGGCTTGCTGTACCCATACTCTCTGAAGTAGTACATCTGTGGATTTGGGCAAACTTTTGGTTTTAGTCTTCACTTGCAAGATTATTTTGATGGTTTTTACTAGCAACTTTTAGCCAAACATTTGGATAATTACTTTTGTATCAGGTAAGAGGAAGGATTTCCCTGGTGTCTGAAAGAGCATTTATCATAACCTTTGCAGACTCTGAGTATATTTTCCAGCAGGGTTCTGGGAAGTTAGCCTAAGATCTCTGATACTCAGTCTTGTACAACTGTACAACACTTCAGAGACTGAGAGTTGTGCAACAGCAGAATGAAAACTAAGAAAGACCAGTATGAGTCTGTTGTGGGCATCAGCAGCACTGTGAGGTGCTCTCAGTTCCCAGTTCCTGGTTCCACCCAGAAGGCACAGGGAGCACAGAGCCAGGTAATTCAAGGTTCTTCTTTTAGAAGAAGACTGACAAATGGGTGTAAGCTTGACAGCAGAAGCATTACAGACTCTTCCTCTCCCCCTTTCTCTCAGCATAGTAATCAAGGCTGAGAAAATGTGTGCCTAAAGCAGAAAATTGTTTTCCTCCGTTGTCCCATTTGTACTGTCAAAAATTCTTGGCAATAGAGATGATTGGAAATCTGCCTTTTTGTATCATCCAGGTGTGCAAACAAACTTGTCCAGTATTTCTGGCTAGTGAAGAATCTCACAGAGAAGACATTGTCAAGAGGAAGAAGTCATGCCCTGTTGGGCTGTGCAGCAGCTGACTTCTGTCAGTGACCTCTTACCTTTGAGATCACTACGCTGTTCACTCTTTTCTTCATCCAGCCTCGTGGTTATTTGGTGTTGGGAACTCTTTCTGTCCCTCTACTTTTTTTCATCACCTTCACGATTGATTTTAAACTGACTTGCAAATCTGACTGCCTTTTGGCATGTCTAGTAAATTGAGGTCCTAATACTGAGAACTCCGCAATTAAATATAATTTAATCCATGCAGAAATTGGCAAATGTTTTCATCGTTGCGGCCACGTGGAGAAAGTATGTTCTCAAGACTCGAGTTCTGAAAACTCCCTCTAGCTGGCAACAGCCTTTGGATCAGTCAATGGGATAATTCTTGTTCTTCCTCACGGAATGAGCCATGCTGCCAGGAGCCATCAGGGTGAAAACTTTAACCAAAGTCCTTTGTCTTGGACAAGTCTGTCTGCCTTTCTTCTCTTTTTGTTATGAAAAATATTTAAATAAGTGATTTAAAAACCATTTCTCACCTGTTTAGACTTTCAGAGGTGGTGTGGCTTGTGAAGGGACGACTTGCCCTCTGCTCACCAGAAGAGGTGGTAGGATCTTGGGGGTGAGGAGTCTCTTTTCTAACATCACACACATTCACACATTGCAGCATTTACTTTGCTCTGTGTTTTGAAAGTTTCTTCAGAAACAGAAGTAATGAAAAATGAATTCTAGACCTCTGCTTTTATTTAATAGTGTGGTAAATATTTAATTGGTAGTTTCAGCCATACTTAGTGCTAAATGGAAGCATCTCCTTTCCTGACTGGGTTGTTCTTATTCAGCCATGTGCCTGGAATAGGGGTTCAAGCACTAGCCTAAGATGTTAGGAGAGACATGAGACTGCAGTGAGAGGTGTTGCACTTCCCCTCTCCCCCTTAAAATGAATAGTGCTAGTGGGACCTTGCCAGAGAACAAAGGATGCAACTTGAGATGTTATGTTTCTGTGTGAATGATTTGGGAAGGGAATGAACAGCACCTCGAGCTGTTCTGTGCTGTCTTGTAGAGTGCTGTGCTCTGCTGTCAGAGGACAGACTCGGGTTTCTTCAGGCCAGAAGTACATGTTGAGCCATGGCCAGCTCTGCTCTGGGATTGCATTGCTGGATGTGATGAGTGTGATGCCCCAATGCCTCTCTCATCTGCTGAGCCTGTCTCTGTGGCTGGGAGCCCTCCCTGCACCATGAAGAAAGCTGCTACCAAGTAGCATGCACTGATGGGAAGATCTAGAATGTTGGGTTTACTTTTTTATTATATACTTTTTTACGATATACTCTTGATATTTTTTTTATGTTTTACTTGCTCCTTGTTGTAACATTTGTATAACATGTATTTAACATGAGCTGTTACATAAGGTTGGTAAGCTTTTTTAGAGCCTGGCACAGTGTGAAGCTGCCTCCAGAGATCTGGTTTTGTCCTGTCTGGGTGGTTACCAGCTTAAGTGCTTTCTGCTTGTTCTTAGCTCTGCAAAGGTCTGTAGCCAAATGAGCAAACTGAACTTGCTCCTAGGAGTGATCATGGTGAACATGTGGTAAGAAGTCAGTTCTGCTAAGCCTGTACAGGTGCAGTGCAGGTTGTAAGCTTGCAGGTTAATGTGAGGGTTCAGGCCAGCTTGCAATAGTCTTGCTGCAATGACAGGTCAATCCTCTAGTCTGATTCTGGTTCCAAGACAATAAAAATCAACTAAAAAATGTATTCAGTTTGTCAGAACTGAGACAGCTTGGCTCTAAAAGTGCTGAAAATTTATAGCCCATTTTGAGAGCAGAATCTTGTTTTGAACCTGAAGTCCACTGAGTAGGTGCTGCTCTCAGCTGTGCATTTTGGGCACTTTTTGGATTGTATTTTTCATTTTTTGTAGGTGCTGTGGGAAGAAGCTGATGACTGTGCTTGGTTGAGTGGTTTTTGTGAGGCAGCACAGAGCCTGCCTGTCCTGGCTCATTCCGCGCAGCGTTCTGCTCTGTCTTGGCGGCACAGTCTTAGCCACTGCACCTATTGCAAGTGGTGTTGGTTTACAGAGATCCCTAAATTGTTGCTTGAAACTGAATTAGCTTGCACAGTATGGTTGGCTCATGGTTCATTAAGGGATGGAGCAAAGAAAGGGGACTGAGGCTGAAATTGCTCTGAAGTGAATGCTGTGCAGGTTCAGCACTCAGGAATGCTGTGCGACGGGCATGGTAATGGTCTGTGTCTGCAGGCTTGCAGCCACTTGGGAAAACTTTGCATGGCACACTGGCAACCAAGAAGACTGTTCATCTGTCTGTAGATATTTGCCTGCCTTAGAGCAATGCTGAGACTTTGTTAATATTTGTAGAATGAGTTTAATAGAAGTACAAACAAAATATTACTTAGAAGGGAATGTGTTAGGCTGCTGTAACACATTTGCAGATATTGAGAAAGTCTTTCTGTGTTTTGACAGGAGATGAAGAATTCATAATTGTGTGGAAGGTGAAAAACGTGCCCCCACAGACACCCAGGATATCTTTGTAAGGAATTATTCTTAGTTTATTTTTGCTGATGCACAAACTCTGCGTCTGTTTTGTAGTGACTTCATGCTGCAATTAATACTTCACTACATTTGAGTTAGTCACTTGTTATACCAACCATAATATGCAATTGCAGTTGTTATATGTATCAAAAATGGGATAATCTTAAATATGCAAATATCTGTAAATACAGGTAGGTTATGCTTGTGAGAACTTAAAAAAATATTTTGCCATGAATCTTGTAGTTCCTGTTTCCAGGAATTTTTTAAATAAAATTCTTCTTTTTGCATTTCCTCTGAGGTGAGGGGAAAAGTGAACCTGTGGTAGGAAGAGCAATTTTTATTGAATGTGTCTTCTGGCTTCTTCAGAAGCATCTGTCTTTTGGAAGACATTGCATGTGCCTGTAAGTAGGATTTCAGAGATGCACATAGGTTCTGATTAAGAAAATTTGGAGACTGGTTTGTTCTGGAGAGAGCTCTGGGCTGCTCAGTCAGGGATGAGCCTTGTGCCTTTGCCATCTTGGCCTTCCATGTTCAGTGCAATGCCCCAGTTCAAGGGGGACAGCATGCTGGCATGTGTTCATGGACCCACCAATCCTTGTACTACTGTCTGAATGAATAAGAGACCTTAAAGATTGACTGTTGTGTTTTAGTGTTTTAACCTAGCTTCCTTCTTAACCCTTCCAGTGTACCCCAGGCCCTCTTGCTCTTATGTGCTTTTTTCAGAATTCTCTGTTCTTTTCCATGGTGTTTTATTTTTTGGGTGGAGAAAGGTTTTTAGGGGTTTTTTTGCTTTGTCTCAGAAGATTCAGTGTGTTGTGGGAGGTGAGGCAACACTGGTCTTGGCAGAACACCACCAAACCAAGAGAGTAATTAAATGACGCAAGCCTTTGATTATTTTTCTCTCTCAAGCTTTCTGGCACGGCTGGGCATTCCGATTGCAAAAGGAGGATCAGGAGGAGAAATTTCTAAAGATCGTACGCAGAAATAGAAGAACTGTCGGAGACTTCTTGCTGCTTTCAAGCTCTTCACTCTCAAGTTCTGGAGCTGCTCCTTTTTCCCTTGTGAGCATAATGCCTCCTTCATCACCCAAGATAGATGTCACTGAAAGGGAGCTGCCAAAGTTTTATTTTGGTTTTGGTTTCTTTGCTCCCCTACTAATTGGATTTTTCCCATCTTCTGCAGGAGGATTATAGAAGGATTAGAGGAGCTGGGGTTTTGGGGTGTGGGAGGTAGCTGTTGTTTTTTTCCTCTTGATTCTGGGACCTCCTTGATTTGCCATTTGTTCCCTGAAGTTACTGCCTGTTTGGAAAAGGGAGAAGCAGCATAACAGATGAAGTTGCACGACCATGGATTCCTTCCCTTTGCAAACGTTGAATGTGGCTGCTTGTAAAAGAGGTTTTTGCATACATAAAATTAAGACTTGCATCCCAGGCTGGATTTAAAAGAAGCAAACTGCTTGTGTCCTGGTGAAAGGATAAGTACTGTTTAAACTAGAGTTTATAGAAGATTGGATGTTGTTGCAGTTTCAGATTTTTTTGAAAGGAAGGCTCTGATCAAGTCATACTCTGCCAGCCTAAACCTGAATATTCTACAGCTGAAACTGGAAGATGTCTTGGAAAAGAAGTTACTTTTCTGTGGGTCGGGGAAACGTACAGGGCATGTTCACTCCACGAAACACCACCTCAATAGCACCCAGTAAAGGTCTCAGCAATGAACCAGGACAGAACAGTTGCTTCCTGAATAGTGCACTACAGGTAAGAGCACAGAATAATAGGGATAAAAATATGTGTAGAAAATTATTTTGAAATAGTAGAATATTGCATAGCTTGCAGTATGTCTGCTCCTTAAAACTAAATTTAACTTTTTTGTTGAACCACTTAAGCTCAAGGTTTGATAATACCTTTTTATGTAGTTCAGTTTTCTGATTTGTAGCTTAGTTTAAATGACTGAGTCTTTACCTTTTGGTTTAGAAGAAAAAACTTTCCTGATGTCAAAATGCAGTGGAGGGATGTGGCTGCTATATGGGTATTGTCACCCTTTAGATGGTGACTGATGGTTAAGGTTCAGTCATTCTGGCTGCAGGGGTTAAAACCCCTTCTCCCCATTAGTTTCCATCCCTTCATATGACTTGTCCGTGTGGCACAGACTATCTCACTCTGAGTTTGTCCTTCTATTTTTATTTTTTTTTTCCATGGGCCCAGTCAGGTGCTTGACTAATTTCAGGCTTCCAGATAGCCCCCAGTGCTAATAATACTACTGTGTATACCAACAACTCTCAATAGGCTTAATATGTTAGAAAATACAAGGCTAGGTACAAAGAGAAGTTATAATAAGAAAAGTGGAATTTCCAGTGATGTTTTGCATTAATTCCATGTGTTAAGCTGTAAAGTGTAATCACTAATTGCATCCTAATACTGTGTTACTGAACCTGGATCAGAACTAAGTAGATCCTGGCACCAGCAGCATACCATACATGAAGATGAAAGCATATGACCTGGTCTTTAGTCTCCTACAGAAAATGTTTTCTTCTAAAGCTTGAGAGAGGTAGAATACTAAAAATATTAACAATCCAAGCTGAATTAAAAAAAGAAGCAAGAAGCTAATAATTTGATCAAATACATACTTCTAGGGTTTATCTTAATAGAACACTCAGTGTTAGTCTGAGATGCTCTCAAATGTTTGTTGCTCCTTACTTCTAAGAATTTCTGTAAACATTCAAGATAAACTCCAAAGACAAGTACATAAAAAAAATTGGACACATTCCTAAACGTAATTTTTTTGTGCTTTTGTAAAGTCTGCAGTAGTTCTTCAGGAATGTTGTGTGTAATCAGATGGTTCCAAGGCTTATGTTGCCTCCCAGGCCTGTAAGTATAGGGAGAGGTGGAGCATAAACATAGCCATGACAATTCTGAAGTTTTGGGGCGCTTTACAGATTATATTTAAAAATGAGTTTATTTAATTGAATATCTCATTTTGGGTAACATTTGTGTTTAGGTAACAAATTGTTCCAGCTGGAAGCACTTCTTGAAACCAGCACAGCTTTTTTCAGGATGCTAAATTTTTTGAGCTCTGGACAAATTCATCAGAGAAAAGAAGTTTGGTTCCTCTGTTTGTGCTAATGAAGCATTTAGCCAGTCACATGTCCTCCTGGACCTTGGTGCTCTCTCCGGAACCTGGCAGGACGTGATTTAGGTCAGGGCTTCTTTCAGAGCGAGCTCCCACCTTCTGAAAGGCTCTGTGGTTTGCAAGAAAGTTCAGTTACTGTTAGCTGAAGCTGAAATAGCCAGTGCTGACCACATTTATACCTGAAGAGCTGACTGTGGAACACCTTGGAGATTGGTGTTGTTGCTGTTTTACAGATAGGAAGTCAGATAGTTCCCCAGGAGTGCACAGATTGAGGAGAGGGAGGAACTGAAGAATTAAACCTGGTGCTGTTAGAGCAAGTATCTGTGCTCGCTGTTGCTAGCAGAGCATAGAAAAGCCTGCTTGGTTTGCTGTGCTGTGACACTATCTGGTCACATACCTGGTATTCCCACCACACCTGTCCTGAGAGAAAGGAACAACTGCCCAAACAGGTTCGGGTTAGCAATCTGCCAGTAATCGTGGCACGTAAGTGCACTTACTAATGGTAACGTTGGGCATAACGGCTTTTCCTGGTTTGCTTGCAGGAGCCCATTAATGTATATGCTGTTGAAGCTCCATGTTTCTGGTGGTGGGGCTTTTGCTCAGAACAAGAAAGCTGCATAGGAGGTGGAAGAACAGGAGAGGTTTGGCCTCAGCAGTTGATGAGGTGTCCTTGGCAGCTCTGCCCAGCCTCATGGTGCGGCTGCGCAGCGTCCGGCCATGGTGCCAGCAGGGGCAGCACTCAGGACAAGTGCTGTTTAAGCTGGCACTGCCACCTGGAGAAAGCAGTGAGTTGTCTAATCTTAAAAGCACATGGCAGGAAATTCAGAGGGATGTCCTACTGTCAATTCACACGTAGAGGTTACAGCTAAGGAAGAAAGTTAAGAACGTCAACTTGCAGTTAGATACAAGTCATCCCTTTTTAAAGATGATGTTCACTGACGACATTAGTGTACTTCTGGGATGATTTAGCATGTGCAATTTAAATCAGAGCTTTATGCAGCATTTTATTTAATATATTCATATAATTGTCTGTGCCTCTTTTTACGTTTCAGGTCCTCTGGCACTTGGACATTTTCCGCCGCAGTTTCCGGCAAATCACAACGCACAAATGTATGGGCGATTCTTGCATCTTCTGTGCTCTTAAGGTAAAAGTTAGAAATAAATTGAAAAGCATTTAAAAAAGAATAGAACAGAAATATTTCTGGTATTAATATGTCTAATCAAACTTGCATCTGAAAATTTGTGAGAGCAAAGGTAAATCTGATAGCTGCTGGTCCAAGGCCCTTATAGTACTGTTGCTAAAATATGCTCAAGCCAAAAACTTAGGAAAATACTGTCAGTAAAGTTTCAGATACAAGGCCTCCTGTCAGTGGTGTGCAGGTCATTGTGAGCCTCCATTAGTTCAAGATTAGTTCAGGCAGTAAAATATAAATTAGCCTTTTTTTTTCCCAGTTTACCCCTTGGTGTATAAATATAGTACTGTCTAAGAATACTATGCTCATCAGCCTTTACTTTCCCTTTAGAGGTACTTTAAACTTCAACATGGAAAAAACCATTTCGCTTTAAGCCTTTCTGTTCAAAACTGTTGATTATGTAAGACTAAAAGGCTGTTTTCAACTGTAAATATTGATGTCTGCATTAAGTGGCTTAGCTCTTTGTAGTCTCTGTTTTGAAAAACATCAATTCTGTTTGTAGATGCAGATACAATAGCTGTTGTAGAGCCTGCCTGGACAGTAAGATGTAGATCCTCTGATTCTGAGTACTGCTATGTACTTCAGTAAATTGTGCAATGCTGTGTCTCCATTTGTCTCTACCAATCACTTTGTAGCACTTCTGGGTTTTTTGTGGCCTCTGTTCTAAGTTTTGCAACTTCAAGCCCACGGCTTCTTGTGGGAGAAATGGATGTGATGCAAACATGATGAAAATACCAGCTTTAATCTTCCTGAGCAGTGATTTTTCTTTCTGAAATTGAGACTGAGACATTTGCTTTGATCACAAATGGGTGGTAAAGTCTAACTAAATATATAAATTCATTGTGGGAGAATTTATTGTGTTGTGAATTCTGTGTGCAGTAACGAAAAGGACAGACAGCATGTCTTATAAATATAGAAAAATAAGGAGTTCAAGGTTTAAATTAAGATCATCTGAAGTTCACAGGCAATATCTGTGGTATAATAGCTGTCTTGCAACTGTTCAGTGACTTTACAGGTGCTCTGGTAGAGACAGACGTGAAATGAGTTATTTAGTGAGGTTTTGGATTGTTGAGGGGTTTTCCCTTGCTAGTGAGCACCAAAGAGGAGACTGTTAAAGCATGAAATAAGAGGAGTAATTTCCTTCTGAAGGGAAATTTGTCTTAAGACGTATCTGCTGAAATGATGAGACAGGATGATATTTACAGCCGTACCATCAGAAGAGGATATAGCAGTGGGTTAGGAGCAAGATAGCACATGCAAACTGAGAAGTACAGGTATCCAGACAAAGAAAAGATGGAGTATTGAATACTTCCCTTTCCTTATAGGGAAGTGGCAAGACTTAATCATGGTCTGATTTGAGTTTATTAGGTTCAATGGGACAAATAATTTCAAGGTATTTTGGGTCAATGGAAGTGGATCCCCAGGTATTGCCAAGTGGTTGCTGGCATTCTTTGTTAGCTGAGATGAGGACAGAAGGGAAAGGATTTAGGACATTACCATGAATGTAAGCTTTGCTGTTCTGAGGTTTAGTGTAGCAGCAAGATATTGGAGGAAATACCAGGAGGTCATACAGGTTCTGCCATTAAGGAAAGTTGACTCTCAATTCTGCATCTGAGTCCATGTTTGAATATGAAGATAACAGTTAAAAGTCTTCTGTATGAGAGTGCTGAAAAAGAGGGAGGGGGTGAAAGGATATTACAGGAAAAAGGAGATGATGAACCTTTGTGGAGCTGGTCTTGAAAGATGAACTCTGGACAAAGATGCATGTGGATTGGCAGTACCAGAATGGGAGGGAAAGTACTACAGTAAGATTGGAAGGTAACAGGATCTCTGGAATATATGTATTAAAAGCAGAGATTGGGTCAAAGAGTGTTTAGCTTGGTTGGTAAAATTTTTGCTTTTGATGTCCTGCTGTGTGCACTGTGCTATTATAAACTTGGAAGTGACAGGTAGAGTGGCAGAATTCACAAATTGTATGCCTGCAGCCATATGCTTATTTTTTAAATTAAGCAGCCTTTGACAAAGTTGCTGCTCTCTCTTTTCATTCCCCAATATCTGCAATGTTTTTTTGGTGCATTTTTGTTGGGTGTTTCTTTTTGTTGTTGTCATTGTTTGCTTATGGGGTTTGTTTCCTATCTGAAGTTCTCAACAGTGCTATGCTTAGCTGGAAGTTGTTATAACCCTTAGTTTCCAACAGAGTTATAATGTTGCACCAAATCCTGTACTACTTTTGCACATTTTATGAAACTTGCACCTGGTTGTGTGCAGAATTTCTGTGGCTCACAAAACTCAATGTACAATGAAAAACTCCAAAGAATGCATAAACAAGAAAAAGGTTATCTAGACAATATGGGCAGTAACCAGTACTTGAAAAAGTAAAACGAATTCCAACTGGATCCAACTGTTGGTGTGGGTACGTAAATATTTGAAAATTTCACCCATTTTTTGTGTTATCAAGTCAAATAATAGGTGAGTAATAAAGGCTGTCACTTAATTCTAAGTGAAACTGGGGATGTAAACCTCCCTTCACCCTCCCAAAGAACTCTGAACACCAGAAACATAGGTTGTCTTGCTTATATACATTAAAAAGCTAGGGGATGCACACAAGGTACAACCCCAAACCATGGAGGTGGTCACATTCACAAACTCCTTGAGCAGGCAGTGAAAGGGGGAAGAGGCTGTCTAAGGTATTTACTTGTTCTCTGCTGCCCTCTGGATCAGTGTTTTCAAACTGCTCTTTTATTTTCCTCCTGCAAAAGTCTTGTCTGTCTGGTACATGGTATATGTAAACTTGTTTAAGACAAATGGGATAATGTGCTTAATGTGCACCTAGTACTTCAAGCATCACCAAGAGCATGTTTTGTGTCCCGGTGCAGCAGATCATCCTCTCCCTTCTGTGCTCATCTGTTCCCCTGCCCCAGCTCTCCTTTCTGCTCTGGAAGTCTTTAACTGTTGTCCTGCCAGGGTAATGCTGGCTCAGCCTCCAGGTCTTTGACATCCTCTTTCTCTTGAATCTTGCCTTAGGCTTTGCTAAGATGAGGGAGAAGATATGGCTGGATCCAGTGGGAACACAAGAATTTGAAGCTCTATACCATGTGAAAATCTCCCATTAGGGTCTGGGGAGAGGTAATTAGCCTTGCATGCTGTCAGGTGGATCTGCCCAAAATTCCTGTCCAGACCAAGCAGGGTGGAGGCAGGACATGTTTACTCCCCTTCAGAGCATGCTGGCATGTTCAGATTCCAGCCTGGCCTGGGAAAGGGACAATACTTGGGGGGAGCAGTCTGTGTCATGTCCCCCCACTCCGCTTCAGGGTCCTTTCACGAGATCCCTGATGCCTCCTGTGTTGTGCAGAGAGGGTTCATGCTCTTCTCCAGCTTGAAATGCTGTTCTAAGGGCAGCATCCTCTTTAGAGGAAGATAAGTCTTCACTAAGCTAAATTTAGCCTTTGCATAACACCAAAGAAGTTTTATTTTTTCCATGCTTTCTTGGCTTGCTGCAACTCTTTCTAGGGATTCTGATGTCATACACAGTGTTTACTGTAAATGCTCAGCTAGTTCTCTAAATATGACTTGTCATTTTAAATGTGGGATTATCCGACCGTGATGTCATACCTGATATCAAATCACGTTTTATTTTTGTACCACATTGAAGACTTCCATTGCACAAATTCTTGAAGGGGTTTTAAAACTTGGTGTCTTACCTGACTGTGTTTGTGTGGCTACAAAATGAACCTTGAAATCATTCCAGACAGGTTCATTGGTTATTTTGAAGGAACCTTGAGTCAAAAGCTATAGAAAGCCAAGGGAGAGCTGCAGACTCTGTGCTGGAATCCCAAACACTGTTCCTTAAGATGTGACATGATTAAATATTTTTTTCAGTACACAAGCTGTCCTTACCACTATGTGGTTTGCCTGCTGCAACACTGGAACAGCTTTTTGATTTATTATTGATGTTGAAGTCTCCTATGTTTTGGTTTATTTTCCTTTTTCTCCAGTATGATTTTGCTTTGGTGTTTGTTTATCACAGCTGGAAGAAGGCAGGAAGGGGGAAATCCGTCCACTGTACTGAGCATGCCACAGAGAGTTTGTTCTCCTTCCAGGGATTGTACTTGGAGCTTCATAGTGCTGGGATATAGGACAGAGTGTTTTTTGTAGGTTGCAGAGAAGAATGCTCTATTGATTGATACATTCCAGTAGGGTTGGTATGTTCTGCAGTTTTGTCATGTGCAACAAAAGCAGGAAGAATGTGAATTTTTGGTGTAGAAATGATGTTATCTGAGGTGAAAAACTGAGAACAGTAAGGTTTTAGAGCCCTTTAAAGAAGGAGAATAGCTATAGTTGGTGGTTCTGAGTAGCCACTTGCCTAAAATCGAGTGATTTGTTAGGAAATGTTCACTATGTGGCTGAGGCAGTAATAGGTGAGTTGCAAAGATTCTTTTGTGCTTTTTTCAAATCATGGTAGTATTTCACAGTAAAACAGTAGTCAAAATACATAAGATAATTACTTGTATTATTTAAACATTTTTCTTCAGTTGGCGCTTGCAGCTAACTGCCTGCCAAATAAACCAGCGGCAAGTACAGTTTCCTGAGTTAATAAACTGGTAATTGAAGCTTCCAATAACAATTGCCTTTTTTGATCTTGATCAAGCAGTTAATAAAGCGTTGCCTAGTAGATGGACACATTCTGTGATTTGGGTTTCTTTTCCTGCCACCCTCCTAAATAACACTTGTGGAAAACATTACTTTTATTTGAGTAGCCAAGGAGTATCTGACCTTACTGTCTGTATTGGGGACCTTACGTTGATGTTCAGGGTACAGTGCGAGTACAAATGGAAGGTACACTAAAAGAAAAGGATAAATGGAAATCTAAGTTGATTGTTATCAGACTTGGGATTTTGGAAAGAGATCCCAAGACACAAAACCAAATAGAGCTAGAATTGATTGCACCCTTGAAGGTGAAATTAACATGAGAAAATGTGGGGAAGAAGTGTGGGCTAGTGGAAATACTGTGGGTGGAGGGTGATGTGTTTGGATGGGAGAAAAGAGATTTGTAGCAGCCAGAGTTTTTATTGAAAACAGATTGTTGTACTGAGTAAGAGGCTTCATTGGAAGAGCTAGGATCTGGAGACAAGAGAAAAGGTGCCCTGAATGGAATGGAGTAAGACAGGCATGTTATTGAAGTGGAGAGAAAGTTTAAAAAAAAATAATGCAGACAAAAACCCTCCACCAAACCCAGAAACAGCTGGTTGGTGGTGATTAGCAGGAATAATGTGGACATGTTGAGCAGTGAGAGAAGGATGAGGATTGGCCGTGTTCATGTTTGTAGGCAGAAATTATTAATGTAGGGAATACTAAGGCATTTGTGGGGGACATGTTTTGTTCTTTGAAAGAAATGCCACACCACTGGAGCTGCATCGATATCCCATCCAGAAGAAACTTCTGCATAATGCTGGAAGGGAATAATTAGTTCTCAGAAAGCTGCCAAGGACACAACTCAAATTTACAGTGCATGAACACTGATCTGATTCAGTAGCTTTTGCCTGTTGTCTTCAGCCATCAATTTATTCTTATGTCAGCCTGCTGCATGCTTGATTAAAAAGTCACATGTGCATGTATATCAAGTTTGTTTTGTTTCATCAGTGTGGTTGGTTACACACTGCCGGTGTCAGTTTACCCCAAATAAATGGAATACTTCTTTCCTAGGGAGGAAGTTGATTCCAAACACTGTCAAAGATTATTTGGAGCAAATTTTGTAAACTATGAGGGGATTCACAGATATTGCAACTTTCAAATCATTAAAATTTAAAAGAAATCCCAAGAACTCATGTCAATCCCATTAATTACCTCAGAGAATACTTGTCTTCATTCTTTAAACTGAGTGAAGAACCACCTGGTTTATAATCATGCATGTGAATTTCAGCACACTGAAAGAGAGCCAGGTTTTCACTTGAAGAGTTGTATGATAAATGTTCCTTGTCTCAAACCTTGGCTGTTTTTCTTTGAAGGTTTAGAAAGTTTATATTGATCCCCAATACTTCCCAAAGTGGAGGTTGTTATTTTGGAAGCCCACGGACTCTGCAAGGCTTTGTTCTGAGGCCCAGCTGGGTAGTAGAAAGGACATGAAGCTTCCAGTTAAAAAGCTAGGAAAAAGCCTTCTGAATGGGAAAAATCCAAGTGAGGCCCTACAATAGATTCCCTGGGATAGTTAAAGAATTTCCAAGTTTGGATGCAGCTGAGAGCAAGTCAAGAAAAGATCAACTATGTAATTGATCTTGACCTGGTGTTTGGGGACTATATGCAACTAGATGGACTTCAGGAATTTATTGGTCTTAAAGAACATTTGTGCTTCCTAATTTTGTTGTCTCTGCTGCCCTTTCCAGACCTCTGAAGATCTGTAGGGAAGGGGAAGTGGAGGGAGATGGTTTTTTTTTTTCATATAGACCTCAGGTGTGCAGCATAAGCAGAACACAGGCTTCCTATCTGAAAAATCCCTTACTCACATTGTTCTCTCTCTTGGCTCATAGCCTTACCAACATGACAGAAACAGGTCCTCAGTGTAGAAATCAAAGTACCATAATTAATGCAATATTAGTAATTTCTTAGATTTTGTTTAACTTGATTTTAGTTACTAAAACTGGTAAAATAGGAGAAACTTCTCTTTTTCACGAAGCTCATAGCAGTGTTCATTCATAGGAACATATGCCGCTGTTAGGGATACACTCATTTGTGTTGGAATGGAACCATTGAGAGAGATGATCAGTGCAGTGAACACACTGGTGGTGTTTGCACTTCTCTTCAATTTCAGTTGAAGACATTTTTGAAAGAGAACAAAGTTCGAGTGTTTCATATATAAAGTTCCAGAAGCACTTGGAGGAAACGTGTCATGAGAACTCCTGGGGCAGAATCAGCATTGCTTTCCTGGTCTGCACCCAGCTGGCTTTCATACCTGTATATGGAACAAATGTTGTAGTGATTAACAGTATCACTCACGGGCAAGACCTTAAATTAAGGAGAGAGATCTGACTTAGATAATTTAAAGTGATGAAACTGCAGGAAATGCCACACCTGTCCATCTAAGGCTGAGAGACAAGAAAGACCTGTTCTGAACAGGAGCAAATAACCTATCTTGACAAATAAAGGGGAAACAACACCCCCAACCCGCACAAGAAAAAAAAAAAAACAAACCAAAATTCCAGACCAAAACTCATAAATGACCAAACTCACCTATGTTCAAGGTGCTTTTGGCTCCATTTGAGGTGCTTTTTGGGCTCTCCACAAGCACTGTGGTCCAACATGCTCTGAACAGCACTGGGCAATGACATGATAAGATTTGATCTTTATTAGGTTAAAATGCACAATTACTGGTTTTAAGACTTTTTAAAATTATAATCTAAATAAGACTCTAGCATTGTGCACTGTCATTACAAATTTGAGGAAACATTCTTCCATATAATATTGGGATCTTTTGCTTCCTGATTATTGCATTCTTCACAGAATTCTTTGACATTACTGAATTATTTTTTGTTCCATGGTAAGTATAGTGTTTCTTCAAGGATGGAAATTTAGAAGAAAAGTTTGCTTGCTTCTCCTTTTACCTAGTTAGAGCCTGCATTGATTCCTACCCTCCAAGAGTGCTGAATGATTTCAGGCTTCCCATGGAATCAAACCAGGTCTCACCATCCATTCCTGGCAGTGAAGTTGTAGACCAGTTGCTAGACAAGGGGCTCAGTTTCCAGGTCTCTGAAGTGAGATTGATGATAACCAGAATAAACACATTCTTAAAACAGTCATGAATATTTTCAAGTGTTCTTAAATCATTTAGTGTGAAGTACTGAAGTAGGATGGAATTATGTTTCGTTGCCCTTTTGTTATTTTTTTGAGGTTCACTGAAATGAGAAAATTCCCTAATGAAACATGAAACTTGTTCAGTTATCAGAGTGACAGAAATGGCAATCGCGTTTAAGTACAGAGACTTTGTCAGTGTTTCAGTTTTTGTATGTGTATGTATAAAAGGTAACTGAGGAGAGGCATTGTCTGTAATTCATGGAGTGTGAGCCTGATTGCCTCACAGCCTGCTCTTCATCACCACTTTTCTCATCATCCTTTGGTATTCTAATAAAGGCAATATTAGAAGAGCTACGGGCTTCAGCACAGAGGGTCCTCACCCATGAATGAGCACCATGAGGACCTTAATAAAAGTAGCAGCAAAGGGAGAGGGGCATTTTACATCTCTCTTAGATAAAACATGTCAACACTAAATTGTACCATTCCTATGGACAGAGATGGCAGGGGCACAGAGGTTGGTTTGCTGGCTGTGCAGTGGCAGCTGTTCTGCACTCTGCCAGCTTCCTCAAAGCAGGCAAGGCTGTACTGTTTGCCAGACCTCCCAGTTTGCCTTCTCATTTCCTGACAAGAAACAAGTAAGAATAGTTAAAGGAGAGAAAAGCTCAGATTATTTCCACTTAATATAGACCCCAAGCATGCTGGGGAGAAGCTTTCTGTAATTAAGGGAGGAAGTGATACATGGATCATCATCACTGCAGATTAGTATAGATTCGAAAGAAAACCAAACAAACCAGTTTGGTTTTTTCCTTGTTTTACTAAGTTTAGAAGGCAGAAAAGCCAACTGGTGCATACTTGAAGGGGATCCTTTTTTCCCCTCTTGCAGTAAGAATTGAGCTTTTCCACAGTCTTTAGGGAAATTGTGAGGAAAGTTTTATAGGAAAGGACAAGGAGAATTTCGAGGTTGACATTGATGAAGATGATTGCTTGTCATATGAAATGAGGTAGAAAGTAGAGCAGAGTGGTGATGGAGACACAGTGATGATGTATGGAAATAAGAGCTGGATGATTTTTACTTAAAGTGAGGATCCTGCATACAGAATTATGTTCCTGTTTTTGTAGGAGGGCACAGTGAAAGTTAGATAATTGTTCAGAAGGTGTTTTGGATATTTCACACACATGTGCACACACATGCACCAAATAAATGCGGGGTTTTAATCAGCTGGGAATATGAACTGAAGTTTCATGCATATAAGCCACGCTTGAGACAATAATGTGTCTTTACAGAACTACTCATGCTTGCAAATGGTTACCCAGGTGATGTATGAGTTAGTTATGAAAATGCAGGTTTATGGCAGCAAGTGAACAGCTGGACATAGAGAGGAGCTGCTGTTTGTGCCTTTTCCCTCCTGCATGCTAACACAAAAATCCTCTAATTCTTACCCACTTGGACTTGTGGAAGGTAAATTCTTTAAAGTGTGCAGTTAGCAAGTTGGGGCTGTTGCAGAGTGAAGACATTTGGAAAGAATTGCTTACAAGATGAAAGAAAGCAGCATCTGTAAGAGGAAAGTTACTGAGCTGGAAGTGAGAAAGTTAACTGGAGAGGGAGAAACAGGAATAAAAAGTGAGGAAGTTTTGGTATTCATTGTATTTGCTTCAGGAGTCAGTTTTGGAGAAAGATCTAAGGGGGATTGGCACTGAAGGAAATTTACTCTCTTGGATAAGCTCCCTACCCTCCCTTGGGTGTGTGAAAGGAAAGGAAGAAATAGACCAAGGTGCATATGATTTCAAAGGAGGAACTTAGAGGATTTTCTCCTGTAGTCCATGTACAATACAAATATCTGTGTGTTGCTTGGTCAAAGCAAATTAAATGTTTGTGGTTTGTTTACAGATAACTTGAGTCATATTTGGAAAATAGAGTACCTTAATGATCTTTTTGTGTTTTCACTAGGGTATCTTCAACCAGTTTCAGTGTAGCAGTGAGAAGGTGCTTCCTTCTGATGCCCTGCGCACTGCTCTTGCAAAGACATTTCAGGATGAGCAACGCTTCCAGCTGGGCATCATGGATGATGCAGCTGAATGTTTTGTGAGTATAACTGAAAGATGATTTGACAGACACAGATGTGTTCCCCTACTACACAACCTTCCCTGTTTTTTTCCCCCCCTCTTTTTCTTCCTCTCTGTTTCTCCTTTCCCCAAATTGCAACAGATTTTCATGTGTGATCCCCAAGCTAATGGTTTGGAAATGGAAATAACAGTGTTAACCATTTTTACAGTTACTTTTGCATATGTAGTGCTTGCACTCTGAAATGTGATATGAATTGTAAAAAAATAGACTGTCTGCAGCGTGGCCCAAGTGTGTTTGTATACTTGGTTGTTAACAAAGATGGTAATTCTTGACCAAGGTATAAACATATTGGATTTTTACTACTGCAAGGTAAAGCTTTTCTCAGGTAAAGCACCTATCATAGTGGAATCCTTTCCACATGTTGAATCTTTCATTTCTCATACCTGCCTAATTTGACACTTGCACTGAAGGAGATAAATGCATATAGCCATTGTAGTTCTCTGAAACTAAGTGGCCTGGTAACAAATGGGCTTATGATAACCCAACATACCCTGTGTCTGTAGAATACTAATATAGCAAAATAGTAGTTCAGTGAGCTTGCTTATAATGGAAGTAGATCATACCATAATGCTTAAAGTGCAAAAAATTACAGCAGCTCACCCAGGAGCCCCTGTGAGGACAGTTATGTCAGATTGCTGTATGCAGTCCAGCACTTGAACAGAGTTCTGTATGTAGTAGAGCACAGGGGTTTTTCATTTAGTTTCTTCCTTGAGAAAGCTAACCAGAATAGCCCATCAAATACTGCTGTGGGAGTGCCCACAAGCAGATTTGTTAAGCTGCATGTACTGGCACAAGAACAGTTGCAATGGGTGCAGGTTCCTTTTTGAGGTTTTGTTTTAAGGCAGAGATACTTGCATAGCTTTTCACTTAGTTAACCTTTTCATCCCTAAAAGCAGAGATGTGATTTCAATGGCAGAAGTGCTTAGATTCTAAAATTCAAGGGAGATTGTATAAGGTCAGAACTGTTTTGCCTATTAATTAATTTTGACCTGTTTATTGCAGACCTATAAACCATTGAGGCAGATAATAGTGACAGTGAAAAGTGTGCTGCTGGAAGAGGTGTCAGTAGACTTCTGGCACCCACAGATTCATGTCAGCATTAATCAGTGGGAGGAGGGAAGGTCTTGGGACAAGAATCCCTGGGAACTTGAAAACAGATGGAGATCTATGAAATAATGTATATAAAATGTTCGGTGCTTTTATTTCATACAGAATTCCCCCACTTTTTGATGGAGTGTAAATTATGTGTATATTTCAAGGCCCTGTGGAACGAAGAGGTCAATTTAAGTTACTTTGTGTTGAGGAGAAGTCAGGAGCTTGTTACATTGGGTCAAATCCATTGCTGCTTGAGAACTGGACAGAAAAATCAGCATCAGAATCTTCAGCAGTGCTAGTAAATAAAATAAATGGTTACCTAACATACTGTTTCAAATCAGAAGTGGAGACCAATTTCTTTATTATCAAAGAAATACAAACTTCTTTGTTTTCAAAACAGCTTTCACAAATTTGCAGGAGCCTTTTGTCTCTGTAAATAACACTTAAAACACTACTGCATCTGACATGCTTTTGTGATTTTTATCTTAACTTTTGTCTGCATTTGAAATTATCTAATGCTTTTTTTGCCTTTTCTTCTTTGGCTAGGAAAACCTGTTAATGCGAATTCACTTCCACATTGCAGATGAGACAAAGGAAGATATTTGCACTGCACCACATTGTGTTTCCCATCAGAAGTTTGCGATGACCTTATTTGAACAGGTAAGGTAATATGTGCTTTACACAAACCACCAGTTCTCGAGTTTAATGTCTTCATTCCTAAAATATGAATTATTACCATGGTAAAGAAATACACAAGCAGAAGTGTTGCTGTGGAAATACCTGTTCAATCTTGTCAGTGTATTATATTTTCTTTTCTTTCTCTTTAGTGTGTTTGTACCAGCTGTGGTGCCACCTCTGACCCGTTACCTTTCATCCAGATGGTACATTATATTTCCACAACCTCGCTCTGGTGAGTTGAGATTTTCACAAGGATTTACTTTCCCTGTCTTTCTTTTTTCTTTTCTTTTTTCTTTCCATATTGGTATTGCAATTTGATTTTTATCATCACAAGATTAAATGTCCAGAATATGGTCTGTTCAAAGTTGGAGGAGCTTTGATAACTGTGATAAAGAACACTAGGATTTAGTGAAGCAGAAGATGGCAATTTAAGCATGGATCAGTGTGTCTGCTTGTTTATGATTCTGAATCTTGACAACTGTAGTGGCAAGGATTCATGTATATTTTGAAAGACCTTAATACGTGAGCGGGTGGTTTTAAGAAGACAGATAAGAAAAACAAAATTATGTTGGAAAGGACCTTTGGACATCTATTCCATCCTCCTGTTCAAAGCAGGGCTAACTTCAAAGCTGAATCAGTCTGCTTGGGATTTTGTGCAACTGAGTTTTGAATGTGTTTAAGGACAAAAATTCCATTACTTCTCTGGGCTGCCTGTTCCAGTTCTTAACAACTCAGTGTGAAGTTCTTCTTTCCTTACATCTAGTGAGATTTCCCTTGCTGTGTCTTCTGCCTCTTGTCCTTTCTCTGTTTGCCTGTGCAAAGAGTCTGGCTTATGTTCAGCTTGTCTGCCAGCATTTTGTGGTGTTGCTCTTCAGCCATTCAGTGCCCAGGCAGCACTGCTGCACTGAGTGTTCTCTGTCCAAGGTGCAAGACTTTGCATTTTTCTTTACTGAATTTCATGAGGTTTCTGTCACCTCATTTCTCACACCTGTTGAGATCCTTCTGGATGGCAGCGTTCCATATCTGGGTATTGACTTCTCCATCCAGTTTAGTGTCATCTGTAGACTTGGTGTGTTTGTATTCTGATTCATCATTCCATGCCAACATTCCATTGATAATGAAAATGTTAAATAGCTCCAGCCCGAGTATTAACCCCTGAGGAGCACAACCCTTGACTGGCTGCTGTTTGTTTGGATCCTCTGAGCCTGAAGGTCCAGCTAGGTTTTTGTCTGCATTGTGTTCTACCTGTGTAGTCCACACCTCCCAGTTTGGCCACAAGAATGCTGTAGATGACTTGGAAACCTTGCTAGAGACCAAATGATACTAACTGCTCTTGCCTCCTTAGCAGAACCCATCATGTGATAGAAGATAAATCAAGTAGGTCAGACATGGCTTGCCCTTGGTAAATCCATGCTGGCTGCTCTGACTCACCTTCTTGTCCTTCATATGCCTGGAGTTGATTTCCAAGAGGATTGATTTGGTCTGTCATCGCCCCAGGAGCAAGACTGACCAGTCTGTAGTTCCTCAAATCCTCTGTCTTGTTGTTTTTAGTTATTGGGTAACTGCCCTGGTCACCATGAGCTTTCATTAAAGGGGGTGGTGCACAGAGCATTAGCTCTATAGCAGATTGTTGGAACTAATGCTAGAGAAGTCACCTTTTAATAGATGGTTGCTCAGTTAAAAGCTGCTTAAACCTGATGGAGGCAGGAGTCTGTTATTCATTCTGTCTTGACTTTTTTTTTGTTATTTAGAACTTCTCTCTCATGTGAGACCTGCAGTTAGAGAGCCTGAAAAAAACTGTTGTAAAAACAGCTTGTTGCTCTTCTCATGCAGATCTCTTGAAAGCTCCCACTTTACCAGTGTACCAGGAGTGCTGTAAAGCTTTCCCCCTTGTGGCTGCTGCCTGCTGTTCCATGGAGCTGTAGTTTTTCATTAGGTTCCAGCAGACACTGTATCAGAACATTATTTGTAGGAAAAATGGGAAAATAATTATGTAAATGGTATTTTATATGAAATATGAAATATCTCAATAAATCCTAAGTTGTGCATTATTTTAAAAGCACCTATACATGGTAATACATTTGCCTATGAAACCATTTTGAGTTTAAATGTGCTTTGAACACTAGTATTCTTGTGTCCATGTTGTCGTCCTTTGACTTGGACAGTGAGATAAATTGGGTACTGTGGTATTTTTTGTTGGTAGTGTATTGTTAAGGATGTGCTTTACTGTGTTACTTTACTAGGATTGTGGCTATTGAAGGGAAGCATTTGAGATCAAGTATTTATCAAAATGCTGAAGTTTGCTTTTAAGTTGCAAATTTTAAGCCAGACAACAATCTGTTTTTATTTTGACTTCTACTTGTTTTCTCTTTGCAGTATCATGATGGAGTAATAATTCACACTTAATTATGTGTTTTTCTGTCCTACAATGTTAAATTAAATATAAAAAGTATTGTGTATTTTAAGGTTCTTAATATTTGAGTGAAATATACAGTGACTTAGTGTGGGTTTGTATTTTTACTTTATTATTAAACTTCTGTTTTCCATGCTTTCTCTATCCTGAAGCAATCAAGCTATTTGTATGCTGGAGAGGCGAGAGAAACCAACTCCAGATATGTTTGGAGAGCTGCTACAGAATGCCAGCACTATGGGAGACCTGCGAAACTGCCCAGTTAGTATCCTGAGTTTTCTTCGGGTTTGAATTCAGTATCTCGCAGTAACTCAGTGAAGGAAGGGAAAAATTCGTGATGTTGAGTGCTTCTTTGACTAGACATAAGGGTTTGGAACAGGAATAGAATTTGGATGGAAACTAAAAATGAATGTTTCTCAGAGAGTTAGTAACCACAAAAAAAGTGTGATGAGGGTGAATGGTTTGGAAATGCTTGCACTGCTCCCTGGGAATGGCCATGCAGTTCATTCCTGTTCAAGCCTGTGTTGCTGCTAGAGGTACCTGTCATATGCTTGCTGTTCAACTTCACTGGAGAACTGGTGAGGCCTCCAACACTGGCATTACATGAAGCTGCAGTTGTGCTTCTATGATGAAAGTTCTTGGATCTTAATGAAAGAAATTGGAATAACAAACCATTTGGAGGCTGTATCTTTTAATAGGAGATTCCTGTGTGTTGGCAATGGTTTTGGTTGGCTAGGCTTTTTAGAACAACATTCCTGCAGTTTAGTTTCTCCAGTTACTGTTTTTGTTGAGGGTGTGTACTTCATTGGTAATAATAGCATGAGGAAAGCACTTATTTCCTGTAATATCTTCCCAGCAGCACCGCACTAGGGCACAGATGGCAGAACCTTTGTACCAGTCACTGTCATCATGGGTACAAAACCTTTCTTTTTCTTTGCCTAGATGAGCTTCCGTTCAACTTCTTTACTACCTTTCAGTTGGAATAAATTGAACTGTTGTCCAAACTGCTGTACCTGCAGCATGCAGCCAAAATGTTGGTCAGAAGGGAAAAGAACTCACTGCCAAAGAACATCCTGACAGTGAAGGGCTTATAGACTATAAAGGATATCTGCAAGAGGTACTCCAAAGGCAGGAATCATCACAGAAAATTTGAGGGAGTATTGGTTGGTTTGTTCTGAGTGACATTTGGTGTCCAGAGTGCAGGAGACCCTGACCAGAATTGCAGGCTATAGTTGCTGTGAGTGATGACTGGTGTTCAGCCACTTCAAAACGAGTACTGCGTGTGTCCAGTTAATAGTCACGGGCTGCTGTTCTTAAAGAGGTTCCATTCTGTTATGCAGTAAAAGTCTAATCAAATTCACCTGAATTAAAGCTGTCTATCAGTTGAGTTAAGAAAAAAAAAATTTTCACATGAATGTAAAATGCTTATTTGATATCTATATATCATAAGGGTTAGATTTGTAAATCTAGATTTCTAAAGCAAGAGCTTGATATCTTGTTTTGCCTTTTAATTTCAGTATGTTCCGATCCCAGGCTTTAGATAAGTGTGCAAGAAGAGTTATCATCAAACTTTTTTGCATATTGATTAATAGGTAGGGCAGGAAACAGCTGCATTATTAGTGCTTCATGTAGTGCTACTGTTCGGCACATTACCAGTCCTGAGTGAAGCAGTGCAGGCTCTTAACAGCAATGGCTTGTGTACCTGCTCCCTGGGGCAGTGTGTTTCCATTTTATACCTGCTCCACCCACCTCTTCAGTTTATAACTCTGAAGCATTCGCTTTTAGTCTCCACTGAAACATTCCCCCCCCCTTTATTGGCAAATAGTGGCTCACGCAAGTAAAAGAAGCTGAGATATTGTATTGTCATTCAAAAGATTCCTATGAGACCAGCTATTTAATAACCAAAGCATGGGAAATTTAATAGAAGTACATTCTTTGTCAGGGCAAACTGCTATTTAGCTGTGAAATAATCAGTTGGATAAAATTGCTTACCAGCATTTGCTGCCCCTTGCTTTTTCTACTCGGGAAATTCTTCTGTTGCGGCTTAGCTAAGGGTGGCCTCAAAGTCATGCAAGGGAAGCTTTTCATCAGGATTCCATGTTCCTCCTGTCATGCTGAAAATGCTGCTGTTAGCTACCTGAAGCAAAGAAGACAGTTTGAGAGTAAGATACATTTGTTGTGAGGTAATTCACGGGACTGCTTGTACTTTGAATGACCTTTGCAAAATACATGTGAAGAAAGTAATCTTAACGTTTTACAACCTCATACCTACTTTTAAACATCCCAGTCCTCTATGGTTTCTTTTACTTTGTCATTTTTGTCTCTCATTGATGATGGAGACTAAAGTTCTGGTTCATTTTCTAGATTGCTGTGGGAAAGAAATGCTTTATGATCTCTTCCCTGGTTGAAGTATCAGAAATTATTATGTAT